GGGAGAGATTGTTAGGTTTCGGATATTAGTTGTGTCTAGTTGTATGTGTTGTTCGCATTTGATTGTAATGTTTAATGTGTTTTCTTAATTCCGAATTGGGGGGTTGTTATTCCAATTTCAAAATGTATTTAATATTAGGTTTGCAGTTATGAGAGGGTAGAGTTTTTGACATAGAATAGTTCAACGCAATCTTTTGTAACAAATTGTTCTCTCTATCCTCTAATGGAAACATATATTATTTACATCTTTTTGTTCATCCAAATCATTTACATCTTCATATGACATTTTAATTTTAGAATCTATCGTTCCTATAATTCTTACAAAGTCATGAAAAGAAGGACCAATAACAACTAAAATGTAAAGAATCTATGAAGTTTGCTTCTCTTGACACAAAATAGCAACTATTTTCTTTAAAACTCACTTCAAGGTACCACAACACAAATACAAATAAAGGGGAAAAAGAGGCTAGGGTTTTGAAGTTAGGGCTCTCTAGAATGGAGACTGAAGGAAATGACTAACCCAATATGTTATGTTTCTTAAATATGGTCCAAAAGCCGAGACCTAGGGTTTTTGGCTTTGCGACATTACGTTTTCCCATAAACCTTCATTCTTATTTTCATTCCTGACAATCTCGAAAAAAACTCAAACTTTGGGGTCCTCTTAGTGGATATATATGATATTTATGTAGAATATTGTCATGTATATCCTCGGTATATACTTTCCATATTTTGTAGAGAGTTCATTGTTACGAAAAAACACTAGCAATAGATATATATGTGATTGATGTAAATTAAAGTGGATTTTTAATTGATTTGACGAATGTGTATGAAGTATCTTTGGCACATGGTGGTTCCACATTTCAAATAATTATCCAAGGGAAGAAGATGACTTGTCCACTCCACACACTCTTATCCATTTATGTACACATGTGAAATCATTTTGTTCATAGGTTGTGATGGAATATATTCATCTTAAAAATCATTTCGAGAGATCTACTCTAGACACAGTTTGAATACATAACAGTTTGAATACATAATTGTCTAAAATTTTATCACTCTATGATGATATAAGATTGGATTTATCATCTAAGATGCAATCAATTGTATATGTATGAATTTGAGAGTAAAAGCAAAGGAAAGCATATAATATAAAGATGCAATCAACATCATCATCCACATAAAAACCAAACCCATGTTATGTTTCACACCATTTCTTTCTTTTTAATGGACAATCATGACTCAAATTAATAAAATGGTTCTTTTTAACTTTTTTGTAATGAGCGTGAAATGTGTCCACATAACATATTTTTTTTTGTTAAATTATTTAATAATTAATCAATAGCTCATCATGTATATACTAACGATCAAATAAAAATATAATAACTCAATCTTTTGATGATTATTTTGTTATTACTATTATTATTCATATGAAAAAAGCCTTACACATTTTGTTTAATTCAAGAACAAATAAATTAAATTTGAAACTATAATAAAATGGTATATCATAATATTAAAATTTAAAACACCAATTACATTCAAAATATGCTAAATAATGTAAAAAATATTAAAAAGGATAAAAACTTGTGTAAAAAGTGGAAGCTTCAGAAAGTCCATTTCCAGATCTTGATACGAAGATCAACCTCACATTTAGCATCAGAAACAGTAGCAACAGCCACCGACGATGATGAACTATTGGATTTTCCTCCAACCTTCTTTGGAATTAGGCTATGAATGCCCTCACACTTGATCCTAATTCCAACCCTTTTGCTTTTGATTGATTCGATTTTCATTGTTGCTTGAGTATCAAGCAATATCTTCAATGGCAAACCGGATTTCTTCTTCAGATCTGATCTCATTCGATCCACTGTCTCCGTTTCAAGTAGCAGAGATGTGCTGCTGATTGATGAACGGATAATCGTGATGTTATTCGGACTACTTGTAAACGAATTTCCGAAAGATCCGGTTGCGATTTGTGTTTCCTCTGATAAACATGTGATCGCGATTGGATCGTAGTAAAACACGATTTTATTGTTTGGATTTTTCGTGGAAATAGTGAGGTTGAGCTTGGATGTGAGCCGTGTGGTGTCGTCGGAGGCGGTGGTGAGGTTGAATTGCGAGATTTTAAGTGAAGTAACAGAGAATGTCGGAGGCTGTGGATGGTAGAGGAGGTAAAGGACGCAACCGGTGATTCCGGCTAGGAGGAGGACGAGGATTATGACGAGAACTGACCAGAAGCAGCATAAACAGAAACACCGCCGCAAACCACTACGGCGTTTCCGTTGATAATTGGGCAGGTTCGGCCGGTAAGGGTGTCGGTTCAGGTTGTTAATTTGGGTTTTCGCCGGTGGAGGTGGTAGTTTTGGGTTTCTAACGGTGGTGCCAGAGCCATTAGGCTTGGATGTCGGGTGGACTCTATCCGTCATTTTTTACTGCAATTCCGGTGAAGAATGTGTCACAGGAAGATGGAAAAAGAGTGGCGGAGGTGGTGCCGGAGTAACCAA